ATTTAAATATTTACATAAAATAACTTTATTATATAAAATTGTTATACAATTCTATAAAATATTGTATATGGAGAGTTTCCATAATTGTCAATTTCATTTTTTATGTAGATGATATACAATTAATAATAAGATACATGAGAAATGTAATTTTTTCATAATTATTTATGAATGCAAATTATTTACAGTATGAATGTTAATGTAAATTTGCAATTTACTATTCATAAAAATTACTTTACAAAGGCAGTAATAAGCATTTAGTACAGTATATTGTGTAACTATGAAAACACCTTATTATGTATTACACAAACATTAATGTTCACGGTTCCATCTCCATACAGTAGCATCGTCACAAACACATAATAAAACTGAACCATCTCTACTTAAACTAGTTTGACGTATAGGTGCAGTACATCTAGGATGTTGAAGTGAATAACAACGTGCTTGACCAGGTTCATCAACTTCTAAGTCCCATACATATGTCCTACCTACTTGATTTCCTAAAGCTATTGTACGTTGCCAAAAATCCATTGAAAATCGTATAAACCATATATCACATTCTTTAAATTCAAACCTATGTAAAACAGTAGCACTTGTTTCTCCACTACGTAATTGAGAATCTTCGAGGCGTCCCGGTTTCCAACAAACAATACAATTTTCGCAGGATTTACTTAAAATGAAATCACCATACCATTTGACACAATCAACATAGTTACGATGAACGTCACGTGTAGTAAAATCCGGAAAATGTTGAAGTATTGAATCAAAGGGTCTTCCGTTACGACTAGGATTGCAATAGTAGGACTGCTTTATTGCTTCTTGCATATCTGGCTTATCTAAAGACCATAGTTTCAAAGCATGGTCCATTCCACATGAAATAATACGTTCTCCTTTCATATCAAAATCAGCACTTAAAACTTCATCTCTATGACCTTCAACACCACCAAATATTGCTATGCATACATCAGTTTTTATATTCCACAACCTAAGAGCATGGTCTTTTGATGCTGAAAGCAATATGTTCGGATCTCTAGGATGAATTTTTAATTCATTTATTGCATGACCATGTCCTATATAGTGTTTGATACAAGTCATAGTTACAGGACTAATAACTCTTACAACACCACGTGACCCAGCTACTGCTAGTAAAGGTTTTCCAGAATCATCATAAGTCCAAGTACAAGTATAAAAATTTTCTTCTGGATCAGGATCTGCATAACATTGGCGCAATCTAATATTTCCTCCTTCTGGACATTCATAAATGCTTACTCGATTACTTCCTACAGAAGCAAATATTAACGGTTCACCTTCTTTTAAGTGATGATTAAACTGTACTCCAAACAATGGTTGTCCATGATCTTCTTTAACACTGCAGCAATATTTATAAAGAGGTTTGTCTGTACATGGTTTATACTTTGCTGTTTTACTTCTACGTCGACCTTTCCTTTTGTAACGAGCGTTACGTGTAGGTGTATCACTACGATGAGTACCAGCTGTTGAATTACTGCCAATACTACATTCAGTTTGGTCACTGTCATTATCACTGTCTTCTTGACTAGAGGCATACGCTTGACTCTTATTGTTCGTTTTTTTCATTTTAACATTAAAAGTATCAATTCAAGTTTTTAAAAAATGTTATATTAATAATGTAGGAGTAGGAATTCCACTGGTTATGCCCAATACAGCTTCTGCTAAATTCAATATTCTAATACCTAGTTGAACACACACTTGTGGCTTCTAAAAAAAAAATATATAAAAATTGATGTAATACAATTACAGATTTAAGAAGAAACAAATAAATAACATGGACTTACAAAAACATCAACAGACAAAAGTCGAATATTATATTTATCTCGTATTTTTGCTGATTTATGGGAAGACAATCCCTTAATATTTGAAATTCCTTTGCAGTTTATTAGACATACAGCTCCAGAAATTATATAATATTCATCTATGAGATTTATATTTGTTTCCACCTTAAATAATTTTATAATTTTTCATTAATGTTATACCATAATGATTAAAATGATTAAAAACACATTATACACTTACTTCAGTCAAAGAATGTAAAGTTCTCCAATCAAAAACCAAAAGAATGAAATCTATACCAAGATTTAAATGGAATTGTGTAAATTGAGTAACAGATTCACACTGATGTACTGTAATACGCCATTTCTTTTCTCTTGCACTTTCATATAATCCTTCAGAAACTTTGTAACACAATTCTGCTGCTCCTATAACCTACAGTAATTTTTAATGTTATAAACATCTTCTCATATTAGTAATCTTCTTATTTCATGTTTTAAAAAACAACAACTTTATAAATTTTAATGCATATTATTTTTTGAAACATGACAAAAGTCTGCATAAAAAGTGATAAGGAATTATGATATTATTTAAGATAAATAAGATACTGTTATTGTGATACATTTTATTAATCAACTTACAGAAATATCATATGTAAATATAGTCGTACAAACTGTTTATATTTAAGCACACAAAGTCATCAAATGTTTAAATTTTCTTAAAAGAATTACTGCTTAATCATCAAATATTAAAATATCATGCTTCCTTGACAACTTAAATTAAAATAACAAAACAATTTAGTAACAAAGAATATTTAATAAAATGTTTATATTTTTTTGTCAAAATAATTATGTATTGTTTAAAAATATTTATGTTAAGAAAAATTCGATGAAATGAGAAGGAATATATAATAATAACACTCAAAAATTAAACGTACT